AATTTGGTCATTTTCTGCAGGCTGTATTGCTATATAACTTGCCATACGTATCGAACAATTCGTTTATCACTATATGTATAGCCATCTGACAGGTACATCGTACATAATGTATTAATGTAGTTACTAGCCAATAGGTACATAGATAATGATAATTTTTCGGGCCGCAACTCACCTATAGCTAAAATATTATCGGGCCGCAATTCACCGGTCTCCAACACCGGAAACGACACGCCGGGCCGCAACTCACCCACAGCCATAATAAATAATTAATTATTACAGAATTTGGAACCTCTCAAATGATGCATTTGTATTTATTGTATAGGTACCTACCTAATACCTATATTAGGCAATAGTTAGATACCTACTTAGGTGCTTAAAAAGCTATAACTATTACCTACATGTTCAAAATTTGGTTAGACAACACATTTTATATTCGTTACAGTATTCAGTTTATCAAATATAATATAATAGTAGGTATATAATCTCAAGTCCTATGATTTTATACAATTTAATTTAGTTTATTTGATATTTTAAAAATAATAAAATTCTATAGAACCGTTGAATCGTGTATTTTTACGATTGTTTATTTTTTGATAAATGAAAACAATAAGTAATTTCATTTATACATTCTGATATACCTATAGCTATATATAGGTATGTAACGACTTTTCCATCTAACAAAAATTTTATTTAAATATCATTTTTCCTCTCTTTATTTATAAAAGTTTATTGGTTTAAACATCAAAAATGAAATAATAAATAATTTTTAGGTAACCTACCTACCTATATTATAAATTATAATATATTATACCTGATTGACTAATTCTTCTGTGCGTCTGTTTTGATCATAATCACGGACTAAGATATATCTTAGTCGGTAATCATAATATTTAGTTTCTGAACGACTTGACTGCTTTCAATAAAAGTGATAAACTGATAACAATGGATTTCTATAGAGACTCGGGGAGTGTTTAAAACTTATTTTTTCAACCCCTATATTCTGTTATTATATAATATATTATATTCACTCGTGAATTTAAATTTGGCTCACGCAAATATTTTTTTGTTTATTTAAAGTTTAAACGGTTAGGTATACACTATATGGTATACCAATATAGCAATATGATTACAAATAATAAAATAGTTATTTTTATGATTGGATATAATTGAGTGTTGTATTATGTTTTGTTATTTAGACTAATAAAGCTATTCTATAATATGAATGTAAAATTGAGTAACAGCTTTCATATTATATTAGAGGCAAAGTGTATGGTTGAGGTCGAAAAAAAAATAATAGACTGGTCTTGACAAAAAACGATAGAAAATATTTCAATTGAAGCAAAATGGAAACGATGGATCGATTGTAAATTATAATATTATGCAGTCGGCTAATACAGATATTAATAGTCGGGTTATATCTTAATGCTATATTATGCAAACCCACAGTTTTCACCAAATTGTGTACACATAAATATTATGTTATTTGGAATCCAGGGCCGGCCACGGGCCGTAATTCCAAATTCGTAAGATATATAGAAGCAAAGATATAATGGCAAAGTAGTAAGTACAGGGGCGGATTGAACCATTTATTTTAGAGTGGCTTACTGGCCTATCCGCTATTAATAATATTAAAATCATTACCAAGTATTATTCATTTATTTCTGTTTGCAATTGGTTCATGTGAGAAAAAAAAGATAGGTACTATTCACCGCAGGTGGATGGCCCATCTTGGATTTATTTCGGTATCCCCGGTCAACGTCATAGGAAGTCCAGGTTCCTCGTAAGTTGTTAATAATTATTATAGTAATTTGTCAATTCGTCAATTTGCAAATAATTACGTAGTTAAAAATTTATAATAAAATGTACACATTTTATAGCTAAGGATTAAAAAAAATAGTATTATAGGTTTCACATAATTGTTTATATTGTAACCAAAAATTAAAAAAATTAATAAAACCCAGATTTTTTTTAGACATTTTAGTTCAAATTTGGACGGAATTAAATATTTAAATGAGGAATAACGATTTTTTTGTAATTTAAAAATATTATTTGTGGGTAACTACCTACATGAAACTTTTAATGAATATTTTATATTTATAATCATTTTTTCAAATACAATATTCTTGGCAAAAATTAGTTCAGCCTACTGTATCTACAGGTACCTACTTATAGTAAAATAATAAATTAGGTACCTATATAGTACCTATTTCAATAGCAATATAATTTATTGCTGGCTACTTGTCAATATAGGCCGAAATACCATCTTCGTTTAAAATCGTTTTGCGTATGCAATGATTTATCGCTGAATTAAAATTTAACACAATATCATACTTTACAGTGACCTACTCCTAAATTCAAGATACACTCGACACCTACTTTACAGCAGAGCAGTTACTTACTTTCCCCCTTTTTTAATTTAAACTTTGCACCTACGTATTGACATATTTTATTATTTGTTCTTTTACGTTTTAGCGTTCAAAGATCCTAGGTAGGTACCAAATACCGAAAAAAAGAATATTAAAATGTGAAGGATCCGCTTAATATGTTGGTGAGGTGAATCTATGTGCTTGGTTGCCTATCCATGACGCCTTATTATTATACAAATTAATATTTGTTAAAAAAAAGAATTAAAATCTCATAAATAATTGAGTTTCCCTAACCATCAATAGGTACATCAGTTGACAGTTCTAAAAATATGAGGTGCTCGAAAGGAAGGAAAAGGGTGCCAATTGCCCAAACTAAATTTTTTAAGTGTAGGTATCTATGTAATATTTTAGATTAAGTATCAATGGCATACCATATTACTACCTAATAATAATTTTGATCTTGACTTGAGTGGGGGGAGGGGGCACATTGTTCTATTTTCTATGTTAAAATTGAGTGCAGGCAATCATTTTTTTTTTTAAGTGTAACATTCTATGTATACATAATAAATTGTCAAATTTAGACTAAACTTAATTACTTATGTTTAATTAACATAAATATATTTTTTGCTGAGTACACACATTTTGACTTTTCCCCAATTTTTTGTAAGATTTCCGTAGTCATGGTTACTATTATTAACAAAAACATAAATATGGTTCACAAATTTTCCTCGGAGTGTAAAATATCGAGTGGTTCACCTCGTAATTATTTTTTAGTTATTAGTTTAATATCCAAATATTTAAAGCAGGTTTATTATTTTATACTACCTAGTTGCTACTTAGTTACTCAGATATTTACTAGTTTGAACAACTGATAAAAGTATAAAACTATACTTTTATTCCAAACATTTATAATATACAACAGTACACAATTGGATATTAATATATTTTACTAAAACTGTGCAAATACACGTTTATATTATGAGTAAATTGTTGTTCCTAAAAAAATATGAAGAATGGAACTGGTAGGTTTTTTATTCCATCGACACATCAAAAAGTGACTTTATTTTAATATTTTGCATTGTTAGCTAATAAAAAAAATTATAAAATAATTTTTTGTCCCAAGAATTCATGTCATACCATTATAGATTATACCAATACTAGTATTTATAATCAATGGTCATACCTTGCAGCAGGTGGCATTACGAGCATTGTGTAGTCTTTACCTCATATAAATTTTTAAAAAAACAACACAATTTTATAAAGTAAATACAAAATTTAACAAATATATGGTGGTAAAATGGCGCACCTATGCCTATAAACATTTATTTTCGTGTAAACATAAATAATTTTACACTAAAATTATTTTTGGACAAAAACATAATGTATCTAAACATTTTTACACATTGTTCAACATAATAATGTGATGTAATCAACTAATTTTACAAACTAAAACATCAAATAGGTAATGTATAACTGGTTAACAATTGAGTAAAAAAAAAACTATGTAAATCTTCCACGAATAACATTTGTATTAAGTAGATTGTTTGAATTGTTAAAATTTTGAAACAATAGACACATAGAATATCAAATTCAACATTTTCAATAATTTGAGGGGTATAATACATAAATGGATTTAAGAATCACTTGTTTTAAAATGAAAAAAAAAAAATTCAATCAATTTCCTGTCATTAATAAAAATTATATATGGCACTACAATAATAAAATATCTTCCATGCATTTGTTGGATTAATCTGCTTATGTTAAACATTACCCATGTATAATATTATTATTAACATTTTTCATTTATACAATTAGTTTAATAGAGACTTTTTTAAAAACAATCTTGGTGAACATTTTTCTAAAATTATAAATGGCGATTAAAAAAAAAATTCACAAAACACAATACTATTTTAAAGGAACATCGATACATATTATTATACTAAGAACATAGATTAAGTACAAAATTTTTTCGATGAACGGAGGGTAATAGCTAACAGGAAAAATTAATTAACTTTTAACGTATAACAAAGATACTTATAACAAAATTATACACAGAAAATTCAACAGAAACATGTAAAGAATAACTCAAAAACTAAATAATACAGAAGAACAAATAAAAATCTATCATAATACAGTATTTCATGTATGTACAATATTAATCTATGTCAAGAGTATATTGCCATCAATGTACGATAATATTAATTATGATAAAAATAATAGTTGTTAATATTATTAGTAATATTAGTATTGCACACACATCTGAAAACAATTATTGCTGTATAAAAACTTATTGAGATTACAATTCCAACAATGACAGTGAAAACAAACAAAGCAGTTTCTGTGAATAAATAGATATAAGATTCCGATGGCAACAATAAAAACTGGTTCTATAATGTGTGTATAGAAAAAAAAAACTGTATTCAAATGTGAAAACTTGTTAAGGTTAGGCATTACATATAAATTAACTCTATTACAGTAGGTAGTAATTAAAATGAAAAGTAGTTTGTTGGTCAGTATTGGGTTAAAAAAAGTCAATTAAAACAATTTGTTCATAAATTTATTAACTTTTTTAAAAACTTTTCTGAACTTACTAGTGGCCCCCTTTAGTTTAGGCTGGACCACATAATGATAGTCTCATTCGTTTTTTGATCGATCAGGCCGCTTTTTCCATTCATCACCTTCATGATCAGAAATAGCCTCTTCCAGAGAAGCCAGATTTGGTTTGCTAGACACTTCCTGATTAAAAAAATCATCATCCTCAAATGGGTCTGTATTTCTGGAAAATATGTTTATGGACTCTGATTTTTTCATCTCTTTAGGTGAGTTAGATAGTTCTTCTTGTGAGATTTTTATATCTTTAGCCACAAAAACATCATCGTCTTTAAAACTGAATTCACTTGACATACTACCTTTGCCAGCATTGTCTGGTGTAAAATCATCTTCAAATGGAGAACGCTTTGTTCCTTCAGTTTTAGAGTTTGAATCAATAGACCTATGACCACTATCTGAACGTTTTGGTTTTCTTGGATTTCTATTTGTTTTAGAACTAGTGGACGGAGATGGCTTAGTAAGATATCCTAAATCAGAACAAGTACTCATAGTTTTAGTAAATAAGGAAGAATCAGGGCTATCGGGTGTAAAGTTATCATCAAAAGGAGATGTCTGGTTACGTTTCAAAGACCATTTATTTTTTGATCTTCTGGACCAATTTTGTTCTAATTCAGATTCACTCAAATCCAATTCTTCTTGACTATATGGCTTTCTAGGTGGAATATTGTGGTCTTCGTCACTGCCATCGCTTCGACGGTGGTATGATCTTCTTGGTTTTCTGGGTGTCGTTGAAGAAACATATCGATTTTTTTTTGGTAACCTATACCGCATTTTTACATCCTCATCATCGCTATTATCAATAGGAGGCCTAGAATAGTTTTTGAAACCTTTTGGAATTGGGGGCCCATATCGATCCCAATTGTATTGTTCTTCAAGAAATCTCCTTCGCCTTTCATATATCAGCCTTTGGTATTTTTCATCTTCCCAGTTTGGGGTAGATGGTAATTTTTGAACTCTTCTATCAATGTCGGGCCGCGTGTAAACACGTCTTTTATCATCTTTTGATGACCTTCTCCGTTCGTCCTCCATATGTGGAACTCTCCAATGTGGAATCATATATGGTGACTCCCATTCATCATTATATCTGGTCCCTTCATCCCATGGAGATGGTTCACGACGCCGAGGTGATATTTTACGATTACTTCTACGATTAGGCTTTCTTTCATAATAAGGTTCATCCTCATACATAGATTCTCCATCACTCCAACCATTTACGGTTCGGGGGAAATCTTCAATTGAACTTTCTAAACTTCTTTTTGCTGGATCCCAATTATCTTCAGATTCTTCACAATCATCCCAGCTGGATGAGCATTTACTGCGATTCGAAGGTACTTTTTTCAAATTAACTTTAGGTTTAATTGTTGGTGGTGGTTCTCGATCTGCAGCCCAAGGAGAATTTGGGTTTTTGATTACTTCTGGTTCAACATCAAAAGTTGCCCAACATTGAGCGTTATCAGACAGTTTTTGACATGTGTTATTTTCAATCAGTTCGGGATTTATTATTGCAGTAGTAACATCTTCTTTTAAAACTTCACATTCAACTACTCCTTTTATATCATCATTTTTAATGGCACAGTTTTCTTCTTCATATTCATCTTCTTCTTCTTCCTCTTCTTCTTCATAATCTACTCTTACATCATCATCCTCGTCATCTTCATCAACTTCTAAATTTTCCTTAGTTTCAACAACTTCAATATTTTTTTCATCTTCAGGTTCAAATACTTGGTCGTTATTTAATTCAACTTCACTTTGTTCTGAAATATTATTGCTTTGATTTGATTCAACAATTTCTTCTATTGGAAAGTTTTCTAATGATTCTTCTTCATACGTGGGTTCTTTTATTGGAATATCCCTGAGGGCTGCATATTTATCATTTTCTTCAACAACAGTCTCACTAGTTTTTTCCTCATCTAATAATTCTCTAAATACTGCATACTTATCATATAAAGATTTTTCGGGTTCTTTTTTATCTTCTTCAGTCTTTTTAGGAATAGTTTGGGTTTCTTCACTACTGTTGATAGTCAACTTGGACAAACGGAAAGTCAATTCTTTTAAAGTCATCTTGGATAAAGAAGTGGGTGATATTCTTAAGGTATCTGCTAAATCACTAAACCCTGTTTTTGTTAATTGACTTAATGTTATATCAAGTGAAGTAGACACATTTGATTTTAATTCACTGCTAGTTTTTCTTACTGAAACAGGTACTAAATAATATTCCGAATCAACTTCTTCTTTCTTTTTTTTTATGTCACTTTTTGGTTTTCTAGATGGTAATGGTAATGGTGGAGCTTCATTTTCTAGTTGTGTAGATGGCAAATTGTAGGAACTAACATAGTTTTCTATATAGTCATAATGACTGTTACGTGTACGTATTGGTTTCACAGTTTTAGAAGGTATTTGTTGTTTTTTAGGTGGCAAAGGTGGAGGCTCTAACGAAGATGAAGGTCTTGGTGGTGGTTCAGGAGCAATGTCTATCCTTTGAGGCAAAGTCATCAATTTCATAATAGCATAATCATCATCAGGGGAAGTTGGGTCGTCATTTCTATAATAATCTGGACTTGGAGATTTTCTCATTTTTATTTTTGTTCTATTTTTAGACATTAAGTTATACTTAGGTGATGTAGATATATTATATGGTTTTTGTGTTTCTGGTGGAAGGGATACCTTCAATAATCCTTGAGCAGAATTTTGTGATGACGAACTATCACTTTTTAATAATGGAGATTTATGTTGCAATTGTGGTGAGACTGGTTTCAGAGATTCAAATGAAGAAAAATCAGCAAACTCCATTTCAACAGAATTTGAATGAGATTTATCAAAATTATCAGTTTTAAAAGGATCTTCAATAAGTCCACTAGTATCTTTAAATGATATATCAGAAGTAAATGAATCACTCACAGTTTTAGTAGGTAAACTTTGAGGTTGTTGCTCTGAAAATTTTTCATTTTCATACGCAGCAAGTTGATTTAATATTTTCTTTGGAGGATTTTTGAGCTCTTGAAAGAAGTCTTTCTTGTCTACGTAAGGTTTACTACGACCAGTTCCTAAAGGATCTAGTTCAGTAAAAACATCAAATGCATCACACTTAATTGTTGGACTCGTGCGGTTAGTTGATTCAATGACCTAAAAATAAAATATAATATTACAATTTTCTTGTTTGTTATATAAGATAAATAGTATTATATTACAACCAAATTCTATACTTGTATTTTTCTTTATTAATATAAATTAGTCTATTGTACTTTATTTATTAATACAATAGAGATCGAGATTGATTAAATCATGTAATAGTGTATTGTTAACATAAGTGAAAATCATAAACTTAATTTGATTTAACTTGGTCAATTTTCATTCGTTTTTAATATTTTAGATTCTGAGCATAGCATTTACATTCATTTTGTATTTACAATGATAATAATTATTGGTGGTAAAAATGCTCAATTTTTTACATCAGCATCTTTTCTGTTAATGAATTTAGGGTATTCGAGAATAAATTAAGATTAATTTTCAAAAGTGTCGGGAAAAATAGAAAAAATAAAAAAAATAAAATGTTCATAAAATATTTATTTATTTATATTAATTATTTTAGCATTTTCCATACACATTAAAATTTTCAAACTATTGATATTTTTTAAACTAAAAACCTTGAGAATTTTTCAAATTTTTTCAATTATTTTTCAGTTAGAAATATATAAAAATTTTTCTTTTCATAGCTAACATTAGACATTTTATTGGAATAAGATCTCCCACAATTTTTCCTACTATTAACAAAAAATAGACTATAAAACTTAATTGTATAAACATTATTTTTTTTAAAAATTTTTAATTTTTAATAAAATAATTTTAATTGTATGCTGTTAACCATTTCACTCCTACACTATTTATCCACTGCAACCGGTGTGTGCTACGTAAAATAAAATATTTATTGTTTATAAAATTTTAATTTTGAGATTTGTATGATCCAATTATTTAAGTTGAAAATAATGTGAACCATGGCTTACAAAACTTGTACGGTTACCAGAAAATGAGAATATTATAAAATACAGGGACATAATAGTACGTCTGGAGCAGTGAATGGTGTAAATGTTTTCGACGTTATAATAATACGTCTGGAGAGTGGAAAGGGTTAAAATAGAATTTTCATACTTATTACTGTAAAAAAAGGGTCGCATTTAAATAACTAAACAATTAACTACTTTTAAACAGAATCGTTAAATTGTTTATCTGTTGAATACATTTTCTCAACATTTGATATTAAAACTATTACTGTATGCAGTATTGTGATCAAATTTTATATGAAATTATGAAATAATTCAAGATTCTATGAACACTAAATGGAAATAAGTAGTTTATATTTTTAATTGTTTAGAAACACTTAAATTTTAAAATTATAAGAATTTAAAAAAAAAATTGCTTATGTGCATTATAATAATAAGATTCAGAGTATATTAGTTGCTTATAAAATATATTTGCCCGTCACTAGGCAACCTACATCAGCAGTCTTAAATCTAAATATTTGATACTCATGATTGATATTTCTCTATATCTCGACATATTACGGGTATGAAAGTCTAGTATGTGATCTATAAATCTGTATATGGAAAAAGGATCAATAAATCATATAATATTTTAGTATAATATTGGCTTGTGATTTATTGTAAGTGAAATTTCAAGCGTGGAATACCTATAAAAAAATGTTATTAACTTATTTTAAAATATTGTTTAAAATTAATTTGTATGAGTAATCATCTGCAATATTTAATACTGGTAATACATTTTTACAACAAAAACATATCATTAACTCAAATAAAATGTCTTACATTTAATGAACTTCAGAAAATTGTCTAATTTTTTGGTGTTTATTTACATATTATTATGAAATATTAATCAATTATATTAAATTATTACATAATATTGTAAAACAGTATATTATTATAATTTACTCTTATTAAGTTTTGTAAAAGTATATAAAAAATATTTCAATACAACTGATGGTCGCATGGTAACAGGGTGATAAATGTTATTTAGTGTGGTGGGCAATAACAAAAAAGTAGGTACCCCAGTCTTTTGTGAAATTGTTATTAAAGAAATTATAAAAATAGGGAAAGTGAAAATAATATAATATATATTATGTTTATATTACCAAAAATATTTGACAATAAAGGAAGGTGTAATTTTTAAAAAATAATCAGTTGTTTAGTAATAGAAAATAATAACTTACCTTAAAATCAGATGCTTGGAGGGATTGACGAACTTCACTAGGGTTTGTCATACTGAAAATACTTTCAGTTTCTTTGTCAAACCAATGTTTTTCAGGCTGTCCTGAACTTGGAGTTGCTGAACTATTACGTGCTCTTCGTTCTCCAGAACTTGGTGGTGGTGGTAATTTTGTTAACGCAACAGACGGAGTAACAATAAATGAATCTCCAAAAGGGTCAGCTGATGGTGGGGTAATACTTTCCATTTGAGACAATCCTTGTTGTAAATTATTTAGTTCAAGTTCCAAGTTCAATAGGTCATTAGCATTTGGAGTTGTATTTTTAAACTCAGATTTTTCCATACTTGACAAATCACGGTTGAATCTTTTAGAGCCATCATCATTACAACTAGCCTATTGTGCAGTAATAATAAATTATAGATTAATAAGAATATCATAAAAGGTATGTGTGACTGATAACAGGTCAAATATTATATTTAAGGACTAACATGATCAACTTTTGATGCTGTACTAGCAAGTGCTTCTAGATAAAGTCCACTGCCTTTCATAATTTGTTGCTGCCTAGTCATTTCTATTTCTTGTTTTTTTAACTCAAAGACAGTTTGAAAAAGATCTCTCATAGTAATGACAACCTGAAAATAAAACATTCTTGAATTACAGAAATCAATCAAAACATGATTCGACATTACCTGGCTTGCAGCTTTATCTGTTTTTATACCAAAAAATCTATGGCCGGTGTCAGGGGAACCGAATATGTACCCAAATGCTCTAGAGTCCACCATGTCTTGTGCTATGAATGATATCTTATGTATAGGATGGTGATACAAACAATCCTGTAATTTTAAAATCATTTAAATACATTCTAAGTAAATTCATAATTTTCACCAACCCCAGTCTTTTCATCCCTCAATTTAAGTCCATCAATTGCTACATTTATGGTAATGCGCTGTTTGTGCTCTCCGGCGGCCCTTATCGCCATCTTCAAGTCAAACAACGCTTCTTGGCACATTCTATCCCCTCTAGCCTCATTGACTTCCAACACGCCAATGAGTTTGGCTTTGTAACTAACTCCATCACCCATAAATCGTATAGCACCACCTTTGTCTGCTATAAAAAACAAAATAAAAAAAAATATTATCTTATTAATAATAGATAATAATAACAATGTATTGTTGCGCGAGATCTGAAACCGAGTGCCAATACAATATATTAATATTATTATTAATCCCTTTAGAAACAAAATGTATATTATTATCCATACACTCTGTTCGTACGATAAATCGAGTGAAATTTTAGCGACAAGGTTACTGAACGACGACGACGACAACAATGATGGGAAACTTACTTTTAAACGGACTAGTTTTCCGCCTAAGAGTCAGGGTTTGCATGGTTCCGAATAAAAATCACGAGTGTCGTGCGATGTGTCTGTTTGTTGTCGAATGTTGTGCGATGCGCATTTCGCACATAGTCGGACAGACAGGAGAAGTCCGCGAATTCTTCCCTATCGAAAACGCTCACGGAAACGTTTCCGACTGCGGGTAAACTCGCGTACGGCTGTTACGGGGGAGGGGGTTGACGGGCCATCCACCCAGTGGCGAAATTTAATCAATATTACTCAGTCTGTACGGCAACATGGCGAGAAAGTTCCACTGCACGCAACCCCGGTAAGGGTAGGTATATAATTTTATTTTTTAAATCGTGCTCGAAGTCTCGGACGACAGACGTCAACGTGTCGCGTCAAGAAGTTTTTTCGTTCAACCCCACCGCCCACGACCTGACGGGGTAAATTATTTTGTAAAAAAAAAAAAAAAACCATTTTATATTTTTTTTGGAGGACGTCGCCGACAAGTAGGCGGGTGAAATAGCCGATACCTATATTGATAATAATAATATACTCATGTACGACTCGTGCGGGACACGAGCGCGCGCACGATACGATATTGCCGATTGAAAAATATCGCAATCGCATTATTGTTATTCGGTCGAGGGCAATTATTATTAATTTATACTTTGAATTCAGTCGATAACCTATGCATTGTGTAAGTGTGTGCATATATTTAAAAACGTATATGTCGCCCTTTGTCAATATAAATATTGTTAAAATTCAACGCGCGTCTCATTCGAACTATGCTGTTTGAAACGGACGAGTGGGTATAATTATTGTACATTTTAGACGTATATTATTATGCAAACAACAACGCAACGCACGTCGCACACTTTCCTCAGAGACTTCCGTATAGCCTACCGCCGGCACCCCTTATCGATATTTAAATTTTTAGTATCAACTCGTAATTTATTATTCACGGCAAAGCTAAAATAGGCGTGTGAAAACCTAAATTGGTATTTAAAAAAAAATCATTGATAGTAAATAAATCGTGAATATAGCTTGCTGGAAGCCTTGGAAACGTGTTGATTAGGTTATCCAGGATTTGAAACACAATATACATATCGATACCTATTTAATTGCTACTGTCCAGATAAATAACAATACAATTACCTAACATATTTTTTTATTTTAAACTGATGTAAAAATCCGATTCATCATTTTTTAATTAGAGTTAATAAACTAACTAAAAAAATAAGGTGACAATTCTTTTTATTCTTAGATAACAAATAAGTAGTAGGTGAGTACCTTCTTTTTTAAATATTATATCTATCTATATATAAATCATTGTAAAATTTCAACTTTAAACTATTCACAGTGCTTGAATTAAGAGGTGACGGAGTCCCTTTCCTTTTAAAAAAAAAATATTTATTCGTGTCCCTTCTATTTGGGTATTTCTTAATCAATATAAGACATTTAAATATTGTTCAGGTATACACATTCTTTTTTTTTATGCTTTTGTATCCTTTTTCTATTTTTTTACTAAGTCAACCTGACTATATAGCATGAGTAGACAGTTATATTTTTGAACTTTGTCCTATCAATATATCAGTAGATCACTGATCAGTAAAATTAACTATCTACTAAATAATTTAGTTTTAAATGCATATTATATTTTTTATTATAATATATATTAATATTTAATATAAATAATGCCAATTATAATGTATAGGTACATATTTATTATTATGATTTATTTGATCAATTTTACATATTATTTACCGCGTCATTTATTTTGAATACTTTCATACCTAGTCATGCCACAAATAAAATTAATAAATTAATTTATAATAAATCTTAAAAACTTAATCAATTGCATAGGTAGGTGTTTTTTTTTTAGGGCATTGAAAAATACTATTTTTAAATTGTTCAATGAAATTATAATGAAATACATGTAACGGTAAGTTAATTAATAATTTAAGTACTTATATGTAGGTATCACTTTATTGAATAGGTAATATACCTAATAATTTAATAATATAATTGTATTGTGTTACCTCATGTTAAACTTTTTTGTCTCAAAATTAAAAATAAATATCATAATTGTAATTATTAAAATTGAAAATATTCAAATATTAGGTACCTATATACCAGAATACCCAATATAAATTATCTATTATTATGTGGTACAATCGAGGGTAAAATACAAAAATTTAATTTAATAAAGATTTAAGAAATCTATCACACCATCAACTATTTGTTTAAAAACTATTATAAACTATAGTATTCATAACAACAATGACAGACTTTAGTAAGATTTTAAATATTAGATATCAAGTTATAAACTAGTAATACACATCAAAAATATTTGACTCGGACCATTCTAGCTAATTTAATCTTTAGAGTGGAAAATATCATTGTCAAAATTGTCATTAACTATATAGGTGTAGATAATTCAGTATTAGTATAAGATGGTTTAAAAAATAATTGGTTCATTAATACATATTGAGACTTATGCTTTAGTAAATGGCTAGTACACCTAAAAATAATAGTTTAACATTATAGTTAACCATGTACTATGTTAAAAATGTTTTTACCTTTAACATTAACTGGTTGTCTATTAACATTTTTCAATGTTCTAAATGATTCTTTGATTTGAACAAATCCTCTTTTTGGAACTTCTTTCAATGAATGCAATTTGTTTTCCTTGTTATTGTTCTGGTTCTCCGAAGTTTTTGTATGTGTTGATGTTGGACCCTTGTCGTTTTCCATTTATTACACATTAAAATATTATACTTAATAAAAACGAATGCAATAATTAATTAAAATATTTTAACAAATTACCGTTTTGTCATTCAAAGTCTCAAAAATAAATTACAATATATAATAAATTTAATATGTTAACATATTTTGTTAATCATTATTCATTAAAAGGAATAAAATTATCATTCAAATAAAAACGAAATTTATTGATTTTATTTATTATTTACCCGAAGCTTAACGTTATCATTTAGTATTTACTTTGTTTTATTTGATAAACACTACTAGAGTAGCCAACCTTGAAAAAGTGTTAACAGCATTCACAAACGTCTTCTGTTCACAATATTATTTTTATTATTCAAAATTACGTCACTCATCTTCTCTACGTCGTGCTATAATATTATTACTTAATACTTATTAGCACGTTGACGGATTAATGTAGTCGTGACTACTGAGTGTACATGACAAAATAAATTATTTTTGTTTATTTTGTCACTGTAGTGTACAATGTACTAAAACTACTTTACTGTGTTCTGTGTTATATATCTTAATCTTCTCATAAATTGTAATGTTATAAATTATAAATTTTATTATATTATTATGTTGTATTTTATGCGGACTTCTAAGACGTTAAGTTGTAAATTCTTGCATTCCATGGCTGTGACCTGCGATTGTATATAATATTGTATAGGTACTATATATGTAGTATATTGTATACACATATACCTTTCACCAAATAATTAATATAGATGTTTATTGTTGTTTAAATATCTTACTATAAACAAGTCCCGAGCTATCAGAGTTCACATGTACATGCAATAGGCTTCTAATAACTGATTTTATCGACAACAGTGTCGAGTGTGTGGCTGGGGCATGCCATTCAGAAAATCGTAAATAAAAACAAGTCCTTATTGAAGAAGAGTAAAGACACAAAAAAAAGTCCGCTATAGCCTTCTTGGATTTAATCTAAAATCAATGCTAAAACGTTCAGAATTTCAGATTTTTGTGGATATCGGATAGTTGTAGATTTTTGCACGCAATTGACTGAATCTGATAAAGAATACTATTTTTAAAGTAGACCTCATAAAGCCATCACTGCATATCTTGTCGAGGACATTAAGGACAGCTGTTATTATAGGTTCTGAGCGGAGCATTAAAATTACAAATTTTTGCAATTATGTGTAGGTTTTTATTTTTTTTTGTGTATGAATGCTTTTTTTACAGAACCTGCCTGCAAAAAATGCTCAGATTTTCAACTCCAATATCTTTTCACGTAGAAATGTGAATCTAGTTTGTAATTTGTATATTTGTGGATCAAAAATGTCAGTAATTTTTCTTAATAGTTGGGTAAAATAATATTTTTTTTGTTGTAATTCAGAAACGAATAACCTCAGTGGTCGAAGTGAGTGAGGTGATACGGAGGGATAACATCACTCCACATTTTATAATTCACATTTTCCATCCCTCCACTTTTTTCGTCAAAAATAATGTATCCCCCTTATAATTAATTTTATTTATGAAAACTATATTAAATATGAAAGGCAACCCTCCACGTATTTTGAGCCACTTCGACCACTGAATAACCTCAGATACCTACTACTTCACCAAATGTTTAAATAAGCATTTTTTATGTATGATATAATTTTGAAAATGTTAAACCTAAATTTACCAAAAAAATGGTATTATCGTTTGAAGCTAAAACTTTGTCAAAATCTAAAACCTTGTTAATTATTTTGTATGTCTATGATTTGAAAATATAATACAAGGCTCCTCATAAGTTATTACTTATTATTACTGGAATTAAAATAAAAAGTTGAGCTTAAATCCATAAATGTATTTTCACTGGCATCTAAAGTTTGAATGTTGACGAAAATGGATATATTCACTAGGTAGTAAATTAAGGACTTCTCATCGAACGATTTTTTTATCTTGTTGTAATTCAAAAACTAATGACTGTAGTTACTGGAAATGTTAAAAAGTTATAAACTATAAAATGTGGGGAGATTTTGAATTTGATGAGATTTGCAGTGGATATGCGGCAAACAATGTAAATACTACTTTGAGAGTCAGAAACAATAGTATACATTTTCCCTCTGGCCTCTGGGTATAAATCTTAAACTATTTGGAAAGAATTGATCATGATAAACATCCCAACATTCAGCGGTTGAAAAAGAGACATATAAAGAAAATGAGGAATACTATCCAATAAAGTCAATATGGATATTATACTGAATTTAAGAATGTGGATAACAAAACCAGCCGAGTGCCCTGATGGCTGATGTTCAATGCTGAACCATCTGTTAA